AACTTGTTTTCTCTGGAGAGGAGAAGAGTCAGAGGGGATTTGATTAAGGTGTTTAAGAATATTAAGGGTATTGATAATATAAATCCATCAAACTTTTTTGTGTTTAGCAGTGAAAACAAAAGGACAAGAGGTCATAAATTCCAAATACTTTTCAAACAGGGTGGTCAGATTTTGGAATGAGCTGCCTACAAGTGTGGTGGAGACAGAAAAGTTAAATGAGTTCAAGCAAAGATTGGATAAATACATAAGTAGTAAAGGGTGGTTATAGTTGGGAGCTGGAAGGGACATCCTTGATGGGCTAATAAGCTCCTTTTTGTCCCTTTAAAATTTTATGAATTTATGGAATTTACCCAGAGTGACTAGCATGAATGGTCATTCTCATTCATGCATAGAGGAGGCTGTAATCTAGATACCACCTGAACTACCAATGAAGGACAATGCTGTCTACATTCTTGAAAAATGTGTAGCATTACAGGAGCGCTCTCAACAGAATAACAAAGGCAGCTAGAGTGACATTAACCTAACGAAGTGAAACCCAAGTTATGTGAGATCTGCACACATACAGAATAAATTATATATTTAGAATAATATTATATTAAAATATGAAGGTAGAAACTCAATATATATTTATATACATACATAATCCTCCCATAATTCATGCTTGTTCTGAAGCCGACAATCAATTTTAAGTTTAAAATCAATAGAATTTAAACTCATGTCCTGGCCAAGGAGTGCAGTGACTTTCTCTCATCCCTGTAAACACTTATATGCAACGTGAATGACACAATCCTTAAAAAAAGAATTCAAATTAAAAAGTCACATCACAATATCATTTAACAAAGATGCAAGTACACACTACAAAACCTTTTAACAAAGAAAACCTCATACATAATTACCTCAAAACAATTTTTTAACAATGACATCTCAAGACAAACTTAGTCAGTTATACTAAATACAAACTCAACCCTTTTCAAACCCCAAAGAATGTACAATAACACACCAAAATCAATTATTAAATGGACCCTTATAGATACAAAAAAAATCTATAAATTTGAAAATCATCCTCCTTAAATAAAATCATCCTAAAACATAGTAAAAGTTGCATAGTAAAATAGTTCATATGTATTTTACTTATTTATAGTGTTACGACAGCGGAAGTCATATGTCGCTGGTAACTCGTAATGAGTATCTAGAAAGATCGAGGAACCTGTCGAACGTCCTAGCGTTTGCTAGACTCGCACTCTTATAATATATAAGCCGGCAAATAAAGTGACAGCAACAATTGAATAGCAGACAGATAATCGAGTCAAGCCGTAAGTAAAGTGTGTAAATCGTTGTGAATTATAGCATGTGTTTAAGTTAAAGTGACTGTGGAAATTAAGTGTATTGCAAAGTTGTATTGAGAAAGAATAAACTAGTTTTATTTAAGAAAGAACTTGTATTGCTGAAGTTCTTCCAAAATAATTTTTACAGGTAATTAACAAGCGACCAGGGGCATAACAATAGTATTAGCTAGATTAATACAGAACATTAAATTTCTTAAATAGGAATAACTTCATTGGCCAAATGTAATAGGCATGATACAAGTAACAGTTCTGATTTAGTGCTTGATAATACTGCTAAGCAGGTCCAACTTTGTCAGGTGTTCTTGGGTTAATGGCTGAAAACGCCACAAGCAGCAATGATACCCATCTGATGACCTAGGGTAGAGTGGCCTGTTACTTATAACTAAGACTATTTATTATCAATTGCAATTATTACTGTAAAATCTTTAGATTTTCTGGCAGAAGTTATTACATACATGAATTAAATGTATTAAAACTTTTTTTAAAATTACTACTACATTATAATTTACAAAATAACTAGACATTATACATTAAAAGGAAATCAAGTATATATTAAAAAATGAAATATGAGTTCAAATAGCTAGATACAAAGAAAGAAAATTATGCTCAAAGATCATTATAGTGAAGCTTTATGGGAGTTTAAGAAAAGGGGTTGATGAATACTTGAGGGATCGGGAATAAACTGAGTGATTAGTTTTCTGTTTGTTGAGAGTGAAGACATCCTTTGTGGGCAAAAAGACCCCTTTATGTCCAATAATTTATACCCACCATTTTTCACAATGGTGTATGTGACATGACTTTTTGAGAGACCATAAAAATAAACAATTTCATATATATATGTATATATAACTTTTCACAAAAAGTAATTTTACAAAATAAAAACTGGATCTAAGCTTCCAAGTTCAAATTTGCTATTTTCAAGCTTATTATTTCACAAATCTTTAAATATAACTTCCATAGTCAGCATATCCAAATCCAGGAAAACATTTCACTAGTAAAATGGCATTGGGAAACTCTGAACCAGTAAACTATAAAAAAATGGCACTGTTTCTTCTCAAATGGAAATAAAATATAGCAAAATTATATGTTTATGGTTTTTACATAATAAAATGTTTACTCTATTTATATATATTATTACTGATATTATTTCTATCTGTCCCATTATTACTGACGCTATCTGTAGGCTTTCTACTCTGCATTGGTACCTTTTTTCAGTAGCCTATTTCTATGTTCCTTTCACCAAAGTATTATACAAATGTTACAATAACCTCCTTACTCTTAAATAAAGATTTCTATAAATAAGGATATCATATGGACAACAAAGAACCATTAGTCCTTCACAGTTGCTTTTGGAAAAAAGTAAAAATTTAAATCTACATATTATTTTTCAGGAAATCATTGAATCCTTTTTATGTTCCCAACCTCTCATACCTTATTTATAGTTTTTAAAAAGTCAACACATGCAACATTCATTGAATTGTTAGAGAAGGTTCAAAGAAGAGCCACTAGGATGATACCTGGGATGGTGGGATTGTCCTATGAGGAGAGATTAAAATCTCTGAACTTGTTTTCTCTGAAGAGGAGAAGGGTCAGAGGGGATTTGATTAAGGTGTTTAAGATTATTAAGGGTATTGATAATATAAATCCATCACACTTTTTTGTGTTTAGCAGTGAAAACAAAAGGGCAAGGGGTTATAAATTCCAATTTTTGCAGCATAGGAATCATCTGCAGTTTGTTTAGACAGTATTACTTTTCAAATAGGGTGGTCAGATTTTGGAATGAGCTGCCTACAAGTGTGGTGGAGGCAGAAAAGTTAACTGAGTTCAAGCAAAGATTGGATAAATACATGAGTAGTAAGGGGTGGTTATAGTTGGGAGCTGGAAGGGACATCCTTGATGGGTTAATAAGCTCCTTTTTGTCCCTTTAAAATTTTATGAAATTTATTAACATCTTCAAGGAGAGGATGCCATCATCCATAAAGCAAGCTCCGAGCAAAACAATTCTAACAACTGCATACCCAAGAAAAAATCTTTCCTAAAAACCATAAAGAAAATCATTTATTACATGTTAATTTTACAAAAGGTTTTTTTCTGAAATTACAACAATAATCAACTTAAGTATCTTGCTAATAATAGAAGCAAACCAATATAGACCTGTAATTTCACAGCTTATCTTTCTTTAAACTTTTCATACACACATGCACGCACACTTGATATAGATCCAGTTAACAATCATCCAAAACTGTAACATTTCCATACCTGCTGACTTCTGAATTATAATTATCTTTTTCATCAATTCCTTCAAACGTTTTAAGTGAAACTCATCTGATTACTCCAAAAAAGCTTTCCTTACTTCCTCAAGTTAATGCACCTTTAACTTAAATACATATACTTAAAGAATTTCTCCTCCTTTTACTCACATTAATCTGGTTGAGTATATCTCTTAAGTTAACATACATTAATAAAATATATAGTATACAACACTATGTAATTAATAATATACAGCTAAAACTATCATTAACAACAAGGGTCCCCAATTGACGAAATACTGCACGCTAACATTTATTAGAAAGAACTTAATATAATAAAAGAGTACTTAATTAGCTATACTCGTCACTGGGTCGATTTTTTAGTTTGATCTAAGTAGGTAGCTTTGATCAGAAGTTAATATTATCAATTACAACTTCAATACAAGTATGGGGCTGTAATTTCCTATATTTGTCCTCAACCCCGTTTCGTACAGTGAATAAATTAACATCGACTTTTTATTTTAATGTTAACTATGACTAACATATATATGTATATACAACGTTTAAATTGTAGTTACATTTTACTTGTATTTGTAAATTACAAACGATTAAAACTTGGCCAAAACTGTAGATAATTAAATATTATAACTAGGAATAGATGGCGCCACGTCACAAAAAAGAAAGCCACGAGTTTACACAAGTAGTACTAATACTACAACTACTATTACTTGTGTTTAATCAATATTAAGGCTTCCTGTTTAGCCTATTTGTAAACTTTCAAACACAAAGAACCGTATTATAAGAATTCCACAAATGTACATATTGGTCACTAGTAAACTAATTCACTACACATCCATTTTTCTACAGTATTTCCCAAAAGAGCAATTCGCAAAATCCCGCCAAAACTTCTACTCCTCGCCACTCGTGTCAGATTTTGATATGTTAATTAAGCATCCCTAATTCAATACAAGAAAAAATTATGTGTTCATGCGCCATTGATGTTCTTTTTGCTTTAATATGTCCATTATGTTCACGCTACGAAGTTTGGTATTTAGGTAGGATTATATATTATTATACATAGACTTTTTTTCACACATTAAACAATGTTGAGGAACACTGGAAGTTAAATTTGGAATATTTTGTTGTGCATGTGTTTCCGGCGGTATGAGTGAGGGACCGCTCGTCAAATCAACAATGATATTCCAATATTTAATTATCACAATAATACACATAACTATTACATGAAATATTACTCTTAGTATTAAAGAATATCTAAGTTTGTATACGTGTACACATTTTTATAACTTGATAAAGTAATGTGAATTATTATTCAGTTATTAGTTGAATTACATATGATCCCTCAAATGGCGTCTGTCTCGAGCGAACCTACCGAGGCCAGTGTGTTTTCAGCTAAATGAATTTATCTGTTTAATATTCGTGTCGTTTGATTGTATAACTTACGAATTTATTCAGTGGATGTTCTTAGTTAACTTCTCCACAATACGCAATTTAAGGTGGAGGGATATTGAATAGTAATTGGAAATGTTTTTATTATCATAATTTATAAGAAAGTGGGATGGACGCGTACTGAATGTATTTTGTTATTGGACATTTTGAGAACTACGTGCATAGCAAAAGCCTTTATGGAGGCCTAAAAGCCACTGACAAACGAGAAGTCCAGTAAGAACAGAAGATCATGGCTGCCACTCAAGGGTGAGGAATTTCATTGTTAAGATATTATTGTATTATATTTACTCTTTAATTATTATCATAATTTATAGATAATAAAATAGCTTGAGACAATGCCTTTTGAAATTAATATGAAGTACAAGCCCCTGGTGGCCTCCTTTTGGGCGTAAACACAAAGTTTTAGGGAATGCTTCAAACTATAATATATGAATTTAACTAAAATAAAGCAAGAAAATTCATTATTATACGTACTTATACCAGTAAATTGTTCAAGGATGCCAATTTTATTAAAGCGAAATAAATGTCACAAATGTTTTCCCCATGTTTTTTCACTATTTTCTTTCTTGATGGGACGAGAAAGCATATTAAGTTATCTTAATCATATAGATATACATATATACATACATACATACACACATATATCCTACTTAGTTATATGATCTTGTTCTATCTGTAAACGACCGACAGATCTTACATAAATAAGACTTGTACAGAAGACGCTTACCTTAAACGTTAATAAAACACAAAAGGGCTCATGGGAAGGTGATTAGGGAACCAGTTTGCTGTTTTAGTTGTTGATACTGCATTAAGAGCTGCTGTTGTTGGTAAGAAGGATACCCCCCAATGTCAGGTCATAGGTTCTGTTGGTGGGGGATAAAATTCATAGGAAGTGGTGTATATGCTAATGAGTAGACATTTGGAACCGTGGAAAAAGCTGTTGCTATCGTTGCATTACTTGCAACTGCTATTTTTGAAACCACAGTTGTTGCTGATGAATTGTGAGCTGTCTAGAAATACCTAGCTGTGTACTGCTTGTTTAACTCGTGACCGCCATTGTTGAGAATTCCCATGTTTAATGAAGTCAGCAATGAGCTGAAGGTTTGTTTTTAGCATCTGCATTATTGTCTGATGCTGCTGAGGAGAAGACGGTAGACGTAATATTTGCAATAACGGAAGCAGCCTGCGAGATACATGAGCATTACGATGCATTCCGGTCCTACAGGTGGTGGACCCAGAGTGACTGACGGGTTCCTGGAGCTGATTCCAATATCATTGCTGGTTGTGAGTCCGCTGTGATGGAACTTGTTAGCATAGGTAAGTTGAATCATCCCACCAGCTTTTGTTGTCCAGTCCAACTAATTTACTACCCATGCTTTGGATTAACTTCACCATTTGAGGTTGTCTTTGTGTGTTTGTCATCAAAGAATTTCCATTTGTTAGAGATGGCGTCTTGAGCCACTCCTTTGTCAAGCTGTAGCCTGTACTGCTTGAACAGCTCGGAATGCACCTGCTTGTAGGTTTGAGCCCATCTCCAGGCAGATGTACATGGTTTGGTTTTGAGGCTTCTGCCGAGGATTCACTAGATGATGAGCTAAGATTGGGAAGCTTACATGCCACTGGTCGATTTTGCATTGCAATCATATTTGGTTTTCGTCGACAGAGAATTGAGGTTTACTGCAGTTGTTGCTGGTGGAGTTTCTTTAGACAGAATGTATACAGACACTTTGCCTCCTGACTATGTCTTGCACGGCAGTAACACAACGTAATACACTGTTTACAAAAAGGACTGTCACCAATATTTACGTTTGCAGATTTTTTTTCATGTTGCACAACATGTTTCTTCTTCTGACAGCTGGGTAAGCAACAATTAGCATCACGGCACTGATAAACATAAAGAAGGGACTGGATGCAGCTTTGGGAAAACTACCAACGAAACTCTTATGGATTAGCATGTTTCTGGTCAGAAACAGCAAAGCCGTTATCCAGGTCAAAAGCAGTTTCTTGTACTGAAGTCAAAAATGCACATCTTTCATTTATCAAATCACAGTTGATCATAAGGTCGCGATCTTGGATAGGTGGCAAACTGTTTATTTGTTGCAAAGCACAAAGTTAGACTACGGTTCGTATGTTTTCTGCCTTCTGCGGGTATCGAAATTCGATGTTTAGTGTTATAAGCCGTACTGTTGAACCACCAGTGTGGTGGTGGGCGGACAGGTGCCAAACTGGCAGCTACTTGTTTGAAGGTAAGCACAAAACTGCACTATGGGCTATCTCTGCTCTGCCCACCACGGGTATCGAAACCCGGTTTCTAGCATTGTAAGTCCGCAGACATACCGCTGTGCCACTGTGAGGGCGGCAGCTACTTGAGCTAAATGAAGGCGAATTATAAAGAACACTTCTTATTCCTATTGAGCGGCAATATAATGTGAATAACTGAATAGTGGCCGATGACATGTTTCTTCACTTATCTATCCACTGTATAGGTTTTGCTCATAGTGACAACAAAGCATTTTCACACTAACAATATATTTGATACTTTATGATATAGGTCCAGCTTATCTCTGTTTGGTTAACTTGTGTTCAGGGTTACTGATGAGGAATGGAATTCTCACACATTGATCACATTGTAGATTGAACTGGACCTCCCTTGAACTGACTTTGGGATTAAACAATTTTCGGAATACTAAGTTTATTTATTAACACTTATTAATGTTCTCCCATGGTGACATATAGTTTCTAATTTTAATATACATATGAAATATACATGTTTACGCATCAGCGTAATTTATCGATCCCTACATCGTTATAACAAATTAAGTGTTGGAGTTGCATTTCTCGTTACACTTTCAGTTGTTTTGAGTAAACTTGTAATTTGTTGTACGGTGACTATAGCAGTGAACCAATAAAGTATTAAAACTACGTGTAAATCCACATATGATGTAATACTTTGTAGCAAATCGCAGTCAGTTCACCAAACATGCTCACCTTTTCGGCCATGGGTGCGTTATAACGCGACGGTCAACCCCACTATTTGTTGGTAAAAGAGTAGCCCACGGGTTGGTGGTGGGTAGTGATGTGATTAGCTGCATTCCATCTTATCTTTCACTGCTAAATTAGAGACAGCTAGCGTGGAGCTTTGCTCGAAATTCAGAACAAATCAAATCGCAGTCAGTTTCTAATGTTTTTTGTGCCCCCTAGTGGTACAGCGGTATGTCTGCAGATTTACAACGCTAGAATCCGGGTTTCGATATCCGTGGTGGGCAGAGCACAGATAGCCCATTGTGTAGCTTTGTGCTTAACTACAAACAAACAAACACAATTTTTCTTGTAAAACTGTTAGATATCTTATTTACAAAATCATTATCTCCAACGCGGCTTACAAGAGCATCGGTTTATTTATCTATTTATTTTTTTGATTTAGTAACTTATTTATAATCATAGTTGTTAATAAAATGTAATTATTCGGGGCGTGTTTTTAATTATTGATAATTTATGCAGTTTCTTGTATGTAGGATCGTTTGTTTTTAGGACAAAATAAAAACAAATGTTTTTGTGTTTGTTTTTAGCGTAAATTAATCTACACAACAGTCTGCCTTCTGTCCACCGCGGAGAATCTTGTCCCGCATTTTAGCACTGTAGTTCCGTAAATGTAATGTAAATATTAACACCATTAAACATTGTTATTTTTAGGTTGGCAAACGATTGGAATAGATCGGTATTTAGATGAATTTGTAATTTGTATTTGCTTTTAAGTCTTATATGGATTTAAACTACTTCAGGCTGGTTTTGTATATTGCATGTAATATTTATTGTTATGTATTTTAAGCGCTCTAGTAGAACTGTCAATATATTACTTGATATTGTAAACGTCGAAACCGTTATTTATTTACCGTTATTTTCTGTTGGAGGTTTATCATTAAAAGAATGACAGGCTATAACAGCACTGAAGTTAGGGTACCAAACCTATTTAGCTATTATGTTAATTATATAAAATAGTGCAACTCAACAATATATTTACGTACGCACCACACAATACTACGGAGGAATATATTATTTATTCGAGGTATTATGAAGAATATTTTGAGAAGCTCTTATACATTTCATGCGTCCTTTTGTAGTGATTGACACGTATGCGTTGGGTGGTGAGTAATGGGGCGTTGAAAAAAAAAAGGAGTTATTGTTCGCTGTAGTAGGCTTGCCTCTGTGGCTTTTGTTCGTGTCGTGATTAAGCGTGTGTGATCAGACGCCAGTGATCCAAAGTACTATTCACATAATATATTACCAATATCTACGTTTCAGAAATAAAAATCTGCATTGTGGAACCGCTATATATATGAGTAGATTCGTTGATTTGACACCGACGATTTTATCGAAAAAAGAAAAAAAAACGTTTACAGGAGCATTTGTTTTGACATGTAAAGAACAAATAAATTTTTAGTAACATGTAATTTGAATTTATATACCACAAGTATTCCAACACTCATGGGCAGTCTATGGGACCATAATGGGAGGATGGTTGGTAGTTCTGAATATTGCATGTTAAAAAATGTACAAAAACATTAGGCTGGTATTTTGACAATTTTAGACAACTTGAGGAGTACACGACACCTAATCCTCTCTTAAACGTGACTCACCCGCCATACTCTACAATAGTGTTTCTTAAACTTTTTAGGTTGTGTCTCCCCCTTTTCTTCTCTGTAATACATTTTGCCCCCACCAAAAAAACAAATAGTTCAACTCATTTAAACCATGAAATATATAGGTAAAGGCAATGATGGCAACTTTAAACTTAGCTTTAGAAAAACCGAAAGATGAAACGTCTTTCCGACGCTTTCACGCCCTTCACCCCCAAAAAATACGGTCGCGCCCCCAAAAGGGGGCACACCACACAGTTTGAGAACTACTGCATTTCAAGTGAACTCAGTATAAATATAGAGAATGAACAAATAGGTAGATTATTTGTGTTGTGGTATTTTCAGGTAAAACAGATTACCCGACAATTATTAAGAGAGGTAAATACGCAAATAGTAGCAGATGCGATCAAAACTAAGGGTAGTGTTCTGTAATAGATAACTTGACTGAATTCCTTTGATAGTATGTGCATGGATGGGAATCAAAGTACGCATTTCATGACCGTTTATACAGTGCCATTCAACATAGTATTATGTCTTTGATGCCAGATTTATCAACTATTCATTTTACCCTACATTGCTGATTTAGTGACAATTCATAGCAGAGGAGAG